ATGGACTGCAGAAGAGAGTAGCTGAGTTTGCAGCTGTGCTTCTTTAGCTTACTTTTAGAAGGCTTTCTATACAGAGAGAAAACTCTAAACCCATTTGAAGAATATTTAATATACCACACTACTGTCCTAAAATTTCTTTATTGTTTGGAGGAGGCAAAAGGGTGGAAGAGAAGAATGAAGAACAGTGGCATTTAGGTTGGAATCTCCAACCACAAGAAGAAAGTACACAAATGTAAAGTTTTTTGTCAAAAGTTTTGAAATTAATAAATTGGTCCTGTACTACTAAACCACAGTTTCCCTCATAGAAGCCAAAAAAACTCTTTACCTACACTAACTCAAATTTTCCTCACACCTTCTGATTTAAGCTCACTCCAGACCTCAGCTGAAACAATTGCTAACTGGTCTCATTCTTCTTACAAGTAGAGATGTGTTCAAAACCTGCCTTCCAAACAGTGAGTACAATTGTTAATGAGTCTTTCTGTTCCATACCAAGTTTTTAAAAAATGTAATGCAGAATATATCTGCGATGCTTTGCATATCTGATACATGTTTAGCTTAATGCAGTAAGTTTGAAGTAAGTATGAAGGAAGAAGTCACACTTCCTTCTTTTTCACCTATTAAGGAAAAGCTCAATGCCCTGTGGCATATGCAATGAATGGAGTTGTCTTCTAAGAGGAAACATGTTTTAATGCCGAGTGAACTGGGTGTAGGTACCAGGTGTTGGCACTCGGGGATGCAGGGCTGGCCTTTGTGGAACAGACGGTGTCTGCCCTGGCCCCAGCAAACTCCAACAGAGTCACCACAGAGCAAAGCCGAGACCCTCAGCCAAGATGAAGGTGCCCCTAGGAAAATGTATGCAATGAAGGGCAAAACAATGAGGACTGAGTAAAAAGTGGGATAAACAACCCTGAACATACTGAGTTCACAGGAGAAGGATATGGAGGAGGTGCTCCAGCACTGTGGTGAAACAAGTATTTCCCTGCAGCCTGTGGAAATGACCATGCCAGAATTGCAGAATGAGTAAGTTTGGAAGGGAGCACTGGGGGCAGTATGGTCCAACGTCCTTGCTCAAGCAGAGTCCCCTAGAGTATGTAATTTAGGGGTCCAGTCAGCTTTCGGGTGTCTCTACATGAGAGAGACTCCACAACCTTTTTGGGAAACCTGCTCACCCACACAGTAAAGTTTCTCCTCATGTTCAGATGTCCACACTGCTGGAGGACTCCACATTGGAGGAGGTTAATATTTCCTAAAGGACTATAGAGAAGAAGCACGCTGGAACACAGGAAAAAGGGCGAGGAGATGCAGAAAGCAGCTGTTCTGAACTGACCAAAACCCTAGTTCCTCATCTTCCTGCACTACCAGGGCCCAGGACAAAGGGTGGTAGAGGAGTCAGGAATGAAGGTGCAAAGTTGATCCTGTAAAAAGGCAGGAGGTGACTACATTTTTCCTGTGTTTCTCACAATCTAACTCTATTTTAGTTGACAATAAATTAGATCAATTTTCCCCAAATTGAGTATGTTTACCAACGAGGGTAATCTGCAAGTGACCTCCCTGTCTTTATCTCGACCCACCAGCTTTCTGTCCTCATTTTCTCCCCTGTTCTGCTGAGCAGGCAGAGTGAGACAGCAGCTGGGTGGGCATCTGGCAGCTAGCCAAGGTCAACCTACCACAGTAAAAAAAGACAAAACAGGCTCTGTCTTTTTCTTGTTGTAACAGAATATGCTGTGCTTGCCTGTCTCTCCTAGCAGTGTCCAGACTAAAAGCCAGAATCTCAATTTATGACATAAGTTGTCTTTCACCACTCTCTATTCAAAAAAAAAAAAAAAAAAAAAAAAAAAATCCACAATGGTATTTTATACTTACAACTCTGAGGTGACCAAGGTGACCATATTTATACATCAAAGATTTTAAAACCTAAGAAAATTTAGATTTCTCTAGGTTTTTATACTATGTCGGTCATTGTTCTGATGAAAGATGGACATAAATATGGACCAGAGTACAGATGCACCTACCTCACTTTTTGGCACATACAGTGTGCAATCAAAAAGAGGTTTGTTCACAAAAGATTTGTCCAAAACAGCAGATTTACCAGGACAACTATTCTGGTATAATACAATACCACTTTGGAAAACTTGTCTTGGAACTAAAGTATCTTTTCCTCTTCTAAAGCATCTTTTTTCACTTCTAAATACTTGTAGCTAAAACAGTAATTTATAGTGAAATAGTTCCAACAGAATACACTATTTAAAATTTTGTATTTTTACATCTAGACTAACAAAGAAGCATGAGAGAAATGTTTTACTGTTTTAAAGCTAAGGGGAAAGCTCACATCCCTTCAAAATATGAAACAGCTACTTATTCTTGTGCTGTGTTTCATTGCATTATATTTCAAAGCAACATATTACAATCAAATCATTACATCTGATTTTTGTTAATACAGTATTTTAAATGAATGAGTTTCCAGACTAAATTCATCCTCTGATTACCTAAACACTTGCCACCAGCATGAAATAAAAATCAGCAAACAGATGAGACAAACAACCAGCAGTTTCAGGGCAAGAGAAGGCTTCTGTGGGAAGCTGTTTGGAGATAGCCAGAGGGGAATATGGCTGACTTCTTTAAAAAAGAATCTGAAGTCATCTCATCTGTTTCATGGAGTTGTACCCTTAAATTTATTTTGATATTTGAAACACTTCACTGTGAAATAAAAGATGTGTTTAAGAGCCTAAAGAGTCTAACATGTGGAACAGTGGTTACTAAAGGAAGAAAAAAATTTATTTCCTGACTAGATAATTTATTATAGAAATAGCAGAAAGCAAAGGGTGGGGGGGAGGAGAAAGCAATTCTGACTAAGAAATACTCTTCAATACCTGTCCATTTTATGTACACTGCCTCTGTGAATTTTCTCTTAGTGAAAACACCATTTCTCACACATACACACAGACAAACAATAATAACAACCACCACAAAAAAAAAAAAAGCCCATGTAGGACTCCTGGTAAATTAGTAGGGATACATAATCATCATATCCCAGATTCAAACATAACATTTAGCTTTCTGGCAGAGCTCATGCTTTACTCCTCCAGACACTCAGTGCGTGCACACAGGCAAACATTATAGAATTTTTTAATCAGTAAGTCATTTGGAAGAATCTCCAGAAGTGTGCCGAGGCATGCTTCTGGTGTGGTGCCAAATTATGTGCTTCTGTTTGTGGCTTTCATATATAGATTAGACAGATGCACAAACATGTACTATTTGGCAAGTAGTGACAATAGCCTATTCTGAATTTAACTATTCAAACTTTACTAAAGTTTTACTAGGTGAAAGAAAAAAAATAATGACATAATGTTTGGGCTCAGCCTTTATATCCTTTTGGCATCTTCCCGCTCACTTGCAAAAGACAAGCCCCTGTAATTACAGAATGACCTCTTTAGATCATTCTAGTGCAGGAATTTCAAGTTAAAGGTTGAAATGTCAAGTGCAATTAAAATGGAGCTCACATTAATTTGCTCTTATTCCAAAACCTCTCAAAATTTCCTGAGATTTCACTGTGTAAGTACCTAATACTTCAATTTCTGGCCACAGATCCACCTGGAAATTAGTTAAAGACCCAATTATCCAGTCTTGTGACCTGACCGTGCCATAGGTAAATACAGACTTTCTTACAATACATACTATGGCTTCACAGGCTTAATAACCACAGAGCTCTTCCTTCCTCCTTCCTCCAGAGCACTTACGACAATGAGGTTGAATGACATACCTGGGGCAATGCTTCTTGATTCTCTACACTTCAGAGCTTGAAACACCGGAATTTCAAACAAAGCTTTCTTCTAGATTCTGCAATCATTACAATGTTCTGCAAATAACATACTTTAATCTTCACTTTAATCTGAGTTTACTAGGAATATAAACACAAGTGCCATTGTCTTCTATAAATCACATATAAAATGTCGTGCAAGGTCAGTCCATTCACAGTCTGCCACTTGCCTAAGTTTATAGGTAAGAGTTAGACATGGAAAAATGTACAGAAACCAGGAAATTCTTTTTTAAATGATAGAAAGGATTACATACTGAAAGTGGCTCATTGTTAATTGAGTCCCATGTGTGAAAGCTACAGGAAGATTAGTTTATACAGCTGCTGTTCTTTGTCAAAACATTGCTAACAAGGTACACATGTTAAATCTGTGCATCTCCTTTCAGTCCCTAAAAAAGAATGACCACATTAAATCCCATGACAAATGTTAATTTAGAGAAAAATCGCTGTTATTTCCTGGGGAATTCAACTATTTCAGACTGTTCTTATTTTATTATGATAATAAGCATTTTTTAGGCAATCTTCCATCAAATGAAAACTAAATGAAGAACACAGAGGTAGGAACAGAAGGAAACTGAAGGTTAAATCCTAGTAATTTCTCCTCAGGGTCTTCAAATCTAAGTCTTCAAGGACTGTTTTGAAACAAAACAAAAAGTAATGTTGCAGTCATTGCCAGCAGAAACAAGGACCTTTTAAATTCAAAGCATTCATAACTCATTAAAAATAGTGTTCTGAAACTAATGTGAACTTAAAATTTATTCTGCTTTTCTACAGTCTCCAAAAGAAATCAGGGGGAATAGAAATTGAAACAAATGAGGAAGCTCTTTGACAAGGAACCAGAGGGAATAAAGCCTCCAGCAAGCCTATCTCTCCATCCCGCCATGCAAACTGTAAATAGGCAACCAGGCCTTCCTAAGAGGGAAGAGAGTTAGCTGGAGCCACTCCTGCTGCTGCCGTGCTAGGTCATGTTACAAGGGTGAGCTGCATTGCTAAGTGGCAGCTGGGCACTTCAGAGGGAACCTCTAGAAGACGGTAGCTGCATCTGAAAAGCAACTGGCCTCACCATCCCCCTCCCAGACACACGGCCTCCCTCATCCTGTCACTCGAGCTAGAAGGGAGCTGTTTGTGAGGTCAGTGCGACCACTCCCCTGTTCACATTGCTATTACAAGTATGGGAGTATATTTGCAGGCAATGGAATGCAAGCCTTGACTGTGCCATGAGCCAGCTGGCCAGGACTGAGTGCCATGTAGTTGCTGCAATGTGCCTGGCAGGCTCAACATTGTAGGGAAAGTTTGTTAGTTCTGCTCGCAAAATGCTGTTCTAATGTATGTCCTAATCTTGCTTCAATTTTCTTAACTACTAGCTAAACCACTTTAGCGCAAAGCACTTTTCTAGAAGGTCAGCTCAGACTTTTCTGTGTAAAAGGTAGGTTGTGACAAAAATGTCCTGCTACCACATGCTTTGCAGCAGTGCCCAGAGATATCCTTAAAAATATAATTGTTAATCCTTCTAAAACTGGATGCCAATATGATGGTACGACTCAAAAGGAAATTTAGTGGACTCTCAGAGAACCAAGAGGAAACATACTGATAAATGTGGGTAGGAAACCAGCCCTAATTTTCAGCAGCTGAGAACCAGGTAATATGGACCATTTGAATGGGCACATGGACTGTACACTGGAGATTAGAATTTCCTTTTCAATTTAGCATGTATTTTTTGTTTGGCCAAGCAAAGTTTTTTAATGCACTAAATGAAGAAAATTTATTATTAACTTCAAATCTCTTGCTACCTGTCATATTCAATTAGACCCTTCAGTATCTTCAGGGCACTTAGACCTAACTCTTGTGTTCCATATTTGGCTAAACATTTTTCATCATACAGATTATGAAAGAATTGCATCTTTTCACATGGTGATACTGGTAATGTTCAAGAAATTAAATATTTCTTGTTTTGAATTCAAATTTGCCTCAGTAAGAAAATAATATTTAAATATATGCATGATTATGGCAGGAAGAAGACATAAAAACCTGAACCACAACAAATAAGCTATATTCTACATACAGAGTATTCAAATTCAGCTGCCAGAATATCAAAAAATAATTATAAATGTAAATACTTCTGTGCAAATGAGTTTATCCTTAGATGCTAAGACTTCCATTATTAGAGAATACCTGTTGCATATTAGTCTTAATTATACTAATTTCAACCTTAGAGGCTGCTGCCTCATTTAAATATGTTTAACAAATGTGAGCAAGCCAATAGAGAGTAGTGGCTGTGACACTTCACAATTGAAGTGATATACATGTTCTAACCTTGCTTACGTATTTCCACCATTAAGGGTAAAAACTGCACGGGTTCCACTCAGCAAAAAGACAGGTTACTGTACAAAGTCATTATCTGGAATTTACAATTTTGCTGAACCAAACAGAAGAAGTGGCAAGTACAACAAAAAGATACAGGTAACTTAAACTCTCTTTGTGTGTTCACATAAACACAACAGACCAACCCAAAAAAAACAAATTTAAACCCCCCAAAAACAAATTTAAGTAACAGCTATCATTAAACCAAAAGAATGTATAGCAATGATTTCACCCTGTAATTATTTCTTGATATACTGCATCAATGGCATACCTTAACTTCACTTTCCTGGTTTACTGCTAAGCTATGGAAGTAATTACAGTTGTTGGTTTCTAACTCTGTCTGTAAACCATGGAGGGATAAACTGCTATTACTGCACATACACACTACAAATGATCATGTTTTGACAATATAGGTAAAGGATAAAAAAAATCTGTAGAACACCAAAAGGAAAGCTAATGACAGCAATCATAGAGATTGTGGCAGAAAGTACGTCAAGGTGCATGGCACATACTAATTTGCTGCAGGCCAAAGGTTCTTTTCATTCACATGAACAAATCTGTTCATATTTTAAAGTAGAGACCTCTCAAAAATCTGGAGTTGTTTAGATGCCTCAAACTTCTCACTTTTCAACAAATGTGTGGGAATGCTACCTGCCACTTTCAAATATTTACTTTGTGTAGGAAATAAATTTCTGCAACTCATAAAGTCCATAAGACACTTATTATTTTGATTTTGTTATCTGGATGAGTGCTACACCAGAGTCACAATTTTGTGGTTTCCACGATGAACCTTTCAAGTGTTCTGACAGAAATACGTTATTGTATTGTGTAATTTTACTGCCCATGCTATCCAAAGACTTTTTATCATTGAAGACTGTACTAATGTTCTTCACCATTTCTTATGAACTACCATGAACTTTTGACATTAAACATTTAATTTGAAAGGGTATTTAACACACTTCAGTATGATTCTGTGGACAGGGGGAAGATTACTTAAATGGGTAATCCGTACACTACAGAGTGAAACACTGTGAAATTCTGAAGCCTATGCATTTATACATGCCAACAGTCAAAACCAAAAAAAATTAGCTGTGTCTGAGGAGATTTGAAATTCAAAAATGGAGAAAGAGAAATTGTCATTTTAAAAAGACTGTGAATTCATTAATAATATTTAAATGAATGCTTGATCCAAAGAGAAATCGTAGCAGCATATGCCATGGTTCTACACTTTCAGAGGATTAGAAACTTCTGTAGATTACCTTATTTGCATCAGTAGCAATGACAGCACCACAAGAAGTATCAGCTACTGATCTCTCAAAAAGTACCAGGCAAGCCCAAAACAATCCAGTAAGATGAACTCATCCTTTATATTTTTACATATGTTTTAGTTTGTTCATTTTCTTTTGAACTATTGAAATTACATCAAAAGCTATTTCATTTCTTTCTTAGCAATGTTTAAATCATAATTGTATTTATTTACAATGTGTCCTATTTGGTTTAGTGTATTGATATTTTGTAACAGTTACAAAGATTAGGAAATATGTTTTCAATATAATTATGTGAAACCTGTTTTCTATGACAAAATTTTAGCTGCCTTCTAGAGTTTCCTCTACTGACAGGCATTTTAACAACTCTCATAGAAAAGCAAGTTTAAAATCTAAGCATTTATAAGCATCAGAGCACTATTTCTCTGTTGACTTCAGATTTCATTGTCAGAGATAAGAAAACACAATAGTTGTTGTAAAGAACATGATGTAGAAAATACTTATCAATTTATGCTTGTGAAAAGATATTTTCTTATTCAGAGAATTTAATTTCAGAATACAGTACCACAGTGAGTATCATAAATTAACAAACCAAATCAGTTTAATGATTTGTTTTATCTAGCAATAAGAAAGTGCTAAGAATCACAGCCTGCAGGTTGGAATGCAGCTATACCACGCTGCGTACTGCTTTAGCACAGAATTCCACACTAAGCATTTCAAATACCACTGTGCACCACAATCTCAACAGAGCTGAAGTTCCTGCTGTGCTTGGTGCTGAGCTGAGGCACAGAAGGATGTGTTTCCCAAATACTTGCATTCCTTCTCCACTCAGACACTCAGTTGCAAGTCTGTGTAAAGCATTTCTATAAGCAGCAACAAAAAGATTTCAAAATGGAAATACCATAAAACTCTTTTTGTCTTCCAAAGGTGTTCACCTTCAGCAAGAGCCCCATAACACAGCAGAATAACAAGAGAACCTGCTGTCTTACTGACATAACAAGGTACATTAGTTCTGATGAAGAAGAATGTTATTCCTCCTGAGATACGAGAGAGCAATATAGAAAACTATGGACAATGAGACAAGGAATCACTTATTACAAGTAGTCTTCTGAAAATAAGCAATTAACTGTTCTTCGAAACTAACTGATGGGCTTCCTTCTTGTTCCAAAACAGTTCTACTTACTTCCCATGTAGTCACAATCCTCTGTAATGTATTTCCAAATTCTGGCAAGGATTGATTTAAAATATCAGAAAAAAAACTCAAAACAGAACAAAGTCCTGTTTAAAATTTAAAAGAGCCACAAATGTTTGTTGCATTATTTAGATTTAATCTTACACAAACAATAGACAAATTTATACCCTAAAGCACTTAAATTTTTTGGGAGTTGAGACAGGGGAGGCAAATGAAATAGTGTGCACAATTGTATTTCAGCAAACTTGATCTTAAACACTTAATATTTTGAAAATACTAATTCTGCACAGTTCCAAATAATTACCACTAGCAAATGAAGATGGCAATATCTCAATATAGAAAATAAATAGAAGTGCCTGCTTGATATTTTCATACTATAAACAAACTTTCTAGAGATTTTGCATGCCTTTTTCTTTCAAAATCTTTCATATTAGTATATATGAAAACAAATGTGTAAATTGTTTTGCTCTCAGTCTCAAGATCTGTTCCCTGGAAGTTAATATTTTGTAATTTCAGTTGATGTATATCTCCATTCTGCTATTTTAAGCATAGTATAATGGATTTATGTTGCATTTTTAGCAGAGGTCTGATCTTCCACAGAGCTCAATAGAAAATCTATAAAATACTCCCTAAAGCATATTGTTTGCTTCTCAAAAGCAATTACTTCTAAGTAAACTGGAACATTTAAACTCTCATTAAAAATAATTAAGAGTATAACTCCTAATCATTTCCTAAAAACATGGGGAAAAATACAGATCTATGACAGGGAAGGAGGAATTGTGATAAACACATTGCAGAGATACAGGTGACATAGTAGAAAAAACCTATAGCAAACATTTTTTCCACTAATGAAAAATATGCTTAATTAGGAATCTTGTACCCTGAAGGAAACTTGACTCATAATAATCAGAAAAGATAGAGAGACAAAAAGATGCTATAAAGTTACAGTTTATGAATAAAAGCACTACCTTTGAACATGTTACTTTCTCAAGTAACTGCACAGAAACTTTATATTCTAGCTTTTCCACATCTGTTAAATACAAATCCCTCAAGCCTTGCCTATTAGACTTTGAACACTATTTTATTCATTTTACAGAGGTAAAAGTATAATCATTAGCAGTATTCAAAATTAGCAGGAAATTTCACAAGAATTTGCAGACATGTAGAGGAAAAACGTGCCTCTGGTCCACCAACCCTGCAGCTGCTGACAGAACCTAGTACTGTAGGCATATTTTAAATCTTACTCCTTTTTTCCCATTGATTCCATGAATGGAGTAATAGTAGCTTATTGTCCATTACATGGCTCATGGATATCCCAGGCCATTGTCATGTGCAGACTGACTGTAAATTTTAAGTGCAGGGAATCCAAAGCATGGATGAAGCATTAGAACCATTGCACATGTACTTCATTATTGATAGAGACTTCCTTTGCTTTTAGACTTCAGAAAGATCTTTAACCCTGACACAACAGCCCAACTGACCTGCCCAGCTCTTCTGCTATTCTTTTTTACAGCTATGTTATTATAATTTCTGTGCTACAAAGGACAATGAATTATACTTTGTCCCTATCTTTAGCTGCAAAGCCCAAATAATGTTCTTAAAGGAAAGCAAAGGAACTGGACTTTGCTCTTCCAAACATAACCACTATCAGCTTTTGCTGTTCTTTTTTAGTTGCTTGCAGTATTTCCATCTGCTATAATACCAACTATTGACCATCCATGCTGCCACAGAGAATGCCAAGTGGACTCTTTGACTGTAGTACTTCAGCTAATTCAGCCAAAGCAGCACAGACTTGAACTGCAAGATCCAAAATACCTTAAAATTTTACTGACGACATTTCTTTCTCTGATTCCAAAACTCCTAAAGACAGCGATAGCCTTTAACCTATGCGCCAAAAGCCTCTTTCAGTATCTAAGAATATCTCAGCATCTGCAGTCTGGTTCACAAACTTCATACAACATGGGTGTGGGACAGCAGCAGCCATACATAGCTAGATATAGCATTTTCCCTAGAGTAAATGAAAATATGCAAGAAGGGAAGACAGACATAGCACATAATGAGACCTGCTTTTGATAATAATCCACTTTATAGAAACAGATAACAGTATTACTATTTTGCTGTTTTCTGTTAGTCCAGATAAAATGTTTCCTCAGAGTTTTCTTTAACAGTCATGAGATTACCACAGTTGGTGCAACAGATGTTGGTCCCTAGGAAGAATGGCCTGATCCTGTAAAACCTGCTTTCTCATGTGCAGGCCCTTTGAAATCAGTGGGATTTATGTAAATAAGGATTTGCAGGATTAGGTTTACAGTCTAAGGAGTCTGCAGTACTTCAGTCATACATGTTCTAGTTTTGTTGCCTGGGAACTCAATGCACTAGAATAGTTTCTGAACAGCCCTTTAAAGAACGTCCTTTACAGAAGAAGTATTAATCTGAAACACAGTCCTTGCAGCATGAATTCAGCATTATTACTTTGAATTACTGTAAAACAACCAAATAAGATTCAAAGAGATCAGATGAGATCCATTTTAACCTACAAAACACATGAAGAATGTCCCTCACATTTACAAATGTGAGGAATGGGAGGAAGATAAATCAGATTCTTTTTGCCTTTCTTTGTTTTTCTTATTGTTCCTAAATGGAACACAGCATTCCATATGTATATTTTCTTCTTCCAGCATCAAAACCCAGAGCTACAAACATTCTGTATACAGCAACTTTGGGTTACTAAGGAGACAGAAGAAGTGAGATTACTATTCAGAAATCAACAGACCTATCTAGTGCAGGGGTTGCAAAAATGGTGCTATTGCCAATAGAGATGGCATCTTCCACCACCCTCTACTTACACACACTCTTAAGTTCTCCTCATGCAGCCCTTGCTCACTCCTCGCTAGCCCCACACCCTCTCACTTCCCTCACCTCACCCATTCCCCACATCCACACAAGTTGTGGCAGAGTTGGGTTACTGCTGTAGTTTTCATTGGCAAGGAGGCACAAACAGCTCCAGAGCCACCTAGCACAGAAATAGTGACAGAATCCAAAAAATCTAATGAGTGTGAACTGTCTTTGAAAACACTCTGTGAAGATAGGAAATGCTGGCATATTTATTCATCACCAATGATGTCCAGAGAAGCAGTTGCCCTGCCACTCAGCTGTCTGCCCCTCAGGCAATGAGAAACATGTCAGCATGGTGCTGGTGGGGCCTCACCTTGAATCCTGTGTTCAGTTTTGGGCTACTATGGCAAATACTTTGAGGTGCTGAAGCAAGTCCATGAAAAGGGCAAAGGAGATTGCAAAAGATCTAGAGAAAACCTTCCATGTGAAGCAGTTGAGAGAGTTGGCAGTCTTTAGCCTGGAGGTAAAAAAGTGGCTGAGAGGAGACTTTGGTGCTCTCTCTGTAACTATCTGAAAGGAGATTGTAGCCAGGAGGTTGTAAGCCTCTTCTCCCAAGTAACAGGACACAGGGCAAGAGGAAATGGCATCAAGTTGCACCGGGGGAGGTTTAAATTGGATATAAATTGATTAACAAAAGAGGTGTCAAGCATTGGAACAGGCTGCCTAGGAAAGCAGTTGATCTGCTATCCCTGGAGGCAATGAAAAGAGGAGTAGATGTGGCACACAGGGATTAGTGGTGAACTTGGCATTGCTAGTTTCCTAGTTGGACTTGATGATTGTAGAGGTCTTTTCCAACTTAAGTGACTCTAGGATTCCATGTGTCACTTTCTAAGAGGTCATGTGTTACCAGTGACAGAGAAATCAGCAACAAAAACCAAAGGCACTTTTGTCAATAAGATGCATTATAACTGGGATGTGTACCAGACAGCATGCGCTTAGACTGGAAGCTACATATCAAAGAGCTCATGACAGACACAGTCATATGCATGTATTATTACTGGAAAATAAAACACACATATAACAGAGACAAATTCAAAATAATCTGTTATAGTTACTCCAATGGGCAAATTTTTCCAGAGTAGATTATCATCCTGTAGGGAACCCAAAGGAGTAATTTACATGGAAGCATATGAAGATGCCATATGAATGTAATTTTGCTGCTTTCGGGACCCACATAAGCTTCCTCAGACCTCACCATGATGTTTCTGGTTATCACTATGTTGTTATAACACATAGGCAAACTTTGGCAGAATCAAATTTTAAAACTGTAGAGTTTTTTTGCAACTTTTGTACCATTAATCACTAAATCCTACTCCATTCATTTTGACACCTGTTTCCAGGGCATTATCCATATGACCCAATACTGCCACTGTTTTGGTCTCTGACAAAGGTGCCTATCAATGGCAAGAGAAGTGTCATGAGCACAGAGAAGACAGAATCTCATTATACTGTAACATGGAATTTAGGAAAAAATCTATGTATAGCACTCTCTGTAGGTTCCTCACCAGATGGAATAGAGAGTTCTGTGTTAATGCTCATCCTACTCTGAAACATGTCAGCAAGCCCAAGTTACCAATAATATGACTTGAATTCTGACAAGGTCGAACTGGCTGGACTATACTTAAAACACTTTTATCTTACTGGAATAAGATAATGTGTTGTAGGACTATATACCACAGGAACATAAGACTCTTCTGCTGATTTAACCTAGTCTCAGAAGCTTATGCTCTATAACATGCAGGTCAATTACAGCTGAACAATGGAGAAGAACAGCACAGGACTCTAACACAGCACAAAGTGAATTAGTGTGGCCTTCTGATCAAAGACTAAGCTGACTTTGTCCAGAAAAGCAATTTAAAAAGTGCAAAAATCTGATAGAAAGTTTATGTGATCTTAGTTGCTCATTCTTTGTGAAGTCAAAGATCAAAAAAAGAAGTTTGACTATTATATTAGCAACACTTAACCCTGAACTTAGAAATAATACCAAGTGATCACCTGAACCACTTCTCTGCTAGATCAGGTTTAGGTATGTCATCTTGTTAGATGCTCCCTAAACCTGTCCTTAATTAAAAAATCTGTCCTCATCATTAGAAAGATACTGAATTTTTTTCTTGAGCCCATTCATAACTGATGAAATGTTGTGTCTTTACTTCTTGACCTACCTATAAGGAAGGCTAGTCAAAAAAATTAGAAAGTTTCTGGTGACCTCCAAATAATTTAGACTTTTTTCCCTCATGTACATAGAGCAACCAAAACTAAACAGCCTTGAAAACCATTCCTAGTTTTCTCAGTTGGATACAATTAGCAGTATGTGAGTCCTTCCAACAATTA